CTTAGACAAACCCTGCTCTGAAACCAATGGAAAGGATCCAGGGAGTTGACTCCTGGTTTGCATAATTTTTTCACATGTTATCTAGCTCATCATGTTTTGGAACTGAAACAAAATTTGATTCATCAGCACAGAGAATGATTCTGAACAACACACAGATTGCACACACAGTATGATTCACCTGTTGAGACATTTCTAAGGGAGGGTTCATCTCACCTAACACAGTCACATCCAGGAGTATGTTTCCAATCCAGATGAGTGCATCTTTTATTTTTAGCTGACAAAATATATCACTATTTTTATGTTATTTTGAACTTGAATTCTACTTCCTTTTGCTTGATAGTCAGATCTACCAAATGGATGCCCAAGTGAAGTGGAGATATCTTATACATTCATTGGAAAAGGGAAATACAAGGACAATGAAGTCTGTTCATTCTTCTGGGAGGAAGTCAGATGTACATTCAGCTCTGGACAAGACTCAGCAGATGAAGTCCATGATCCAAGTGAGAGATCAAAATAGGTATCTAAGACACACGGCAGGGGAGATGGGCCATTGCAGTGCAAAGATACTGGGGACATAAAAATGCTAATGGCACTTACAGGAGAGGCTGGAGGTTCTAAAGTGGCCTTAGGGAGGACACAAAGGAAGAAGCTGATATTTTGGCTTGGAACTGGAGAGAGATATAATGGGAGGACATATACAAGGAGAAATGGAAATTACGAATGCAGGATATAGATTTGTAGGTACTTGGCTTCCTTAGTTCTGTTGAACTGTTCAATATGTCTATTTTTCTTGCTTCCCCCACAGCAGAAGCAGTGGAAGGTCTTTTGCAGACCCATTGCCTGTAGGTTTGCTCTAACATTGATGCAAATATGTCCTCACTGCTTTTCCTCATCAAGATGCTTTCCTACTGCAGTCTCATAAATCTGGTTTGCAGCAGTTGCTGCACTACAGCCCAATTGTCAAACCTCTGGAAGCTTCATCTTTGTCTGTACTATGTCTCTGCACCCATTAGTTCCCCTGAGGGAGGCAAGGGCATGGCTACTGGAGCATCGAAATGAAATAAACATACATTAGCATTGGCAGAATGAATTTAAATATCCTGATTTTCAGAGCATCTGCAGGAAAAGCAGAAAGGCTTGATCTCAAAATAGCCTTAAAAATACAATAAAATATCTACCTTACTTTTTATTTCATATGTATTGTATATGGAAGGTTTGTCTGATATCCTTAAAGCCCTCTGTTGCCTCCTGTGTGTTCTTGAACCCTTTGCTCACATTGTGTGATCTGCAAGGTTAAGGTTGTCAGGGATTCTAATGACTTGTACTTTCTTTTCAAAGGTATTGAAGTGACCAGCCCCATTTGTCCACTGCAACTGGAAGCAGTTCAGTTCTGCTCTTGTATGCTACACCTGAAGCCATAGGTTTGTTTGTTTTGATGGGGCTTTTTTGTTTGCTTGGGAGCTTTTTTCCCCCTTTTTTCTCTCCCGTCTTAATCTTTAATTTTATTCTGCTGTTTAGGCTTTGATAGAAAACTTAGCCATGTGTAATTCTTATCAAGTAAAAGCCAAATACTTGTCGTTTATAGATCCCATAACTGAATGATACATTATTAAATCTTTTCCTCATCCTAGATAAATATAACCAGCAAAATGCTGTCCATGATGAAACATTTGGAGACAACCAAAGTGAGCAGGGAAATGAAGACTCTGTTGCTCTTTCACAAGAGTAGTTACTGTAATACAAAGTTTGTAACAAAATTCAATACAAATTGCAAAATTAGGCCAAAGTAATTCTAGGTTGAAATGATGATGAAATAGCAGAACACTGGACCTCAACAGCAACAAAAACCTTATTTTAACATATTGAGTTTAAGAACTGTAGTTCTTTAGAAATTAGAAATACCTGCAGATTTTTAACAGACTATGTTCTATTTATTTTGGTGCTTGGTGGTGATTTTATTTTTTTTAATACAAATGTGAATCTCTCAGCCCCTAAGAAATTTCCTTTAATTTATCATACAATGTTATCAGTTGCAAAACAGCCGGTACATTGTGACCATAGGCCATGACAACCCATTGTGTTCACCCCAAGCCTTTTCTTGTTCCTAAATTATTTTCTGTGGGAAATTTCCCTCTAACACAGTTTACTCCACAACCACAAAGCACAGATGCCCTCCTCTTTATTGCATTCCTCTCTTTCCAGCACAAACTTCATGGAGAAGCAATAGCATCAGTGAATTCTCTGCTGCCCACTAGTCACAAAACCAGTTTTAAAGGACTATGCATTTTTGGCAAAAAAAAAGAAAATTAATTTAAATGCAAATGCTATGTCAGCACTTACTCATTTGCCTCTTGGGAAAGAGAGATACAAGTTCACTTATCAAGAAAATATTAGTTCACTGGGGCTTCAGAACTGCATTTAAAAGTTTTTGTCTTACTTATCTGCATTCTTCACACTCTAGCATGGAGAATTTTTTCACTTTATGTATGTACTTTTTATTTATTATTTTATTTTTACTTGTGTTTTTATGTTTGTTTCTGGACAGCACCAACACTGTAGTGAAATTTTGGGGGAAAAAAAGACCTGACTGTCAAAAAAGAAGGTTTTAAATGCTGCTAGTTTTAGCTTCTAGGAAGAAAATACCTAGGATAGTTGAAGCACATTTTAGACATAAAGAAAAATACAGTATCAAATTTAATTAAAGAACTAGAGCTGCCAGGTAGTAATTAACTGTTTTAAATTTACAGCTGTGTGAGAAAACATTGGTCATAAGAATAATGTTGTGCAAATTAAAATAGCTGCTTGTATTGTACAAATTTAAATTTCCAGATATCTGTGACAATATAAATTTCACTGAGAAAATAATTATGTGCTGATCTATATTCAGGTGATCTTGTGAAATGTTGTTGACAGCCTTAAGCAGAAAAGGCAATCACAGAGAAAGACAGACAGGAATAATGCCAATGTTTAGGGAAGATATGCCTGTCAAAATATGGAACACCGAATTATAAAAAACAGATTTTATAATAAAGTTATTTGGCTTTTAAAGTGATTACAGTTTAGGCATTCTCTCTGCTAATTCAGTCTGCATTACCACAGAAAATTTTGACTTAGACAGAAACTGCACACCACATATCAACCAAAGGAAGGCTGAATGAAATAACGTAACTAAAGCTTTGTGCTTGGCATAGTCCTCACACAAATGCTTCAAGTACAGGAGCCAGCTGAGGGAAGATCCTATTTCTATTCAGGTTCCATTTTTTCCTAAATCAAGCAAAGAGTTCTTTGCAAGAACACGTCACCAGCATATAAATTTCTGAATGTGGGAGCTGCGTGAAATGTATTATATATGCAATGTTATATAAATATGTACACATAGACTTTATCTCCTCAGTGGTGCCATTCTTCCTTGTCAAGGACACCATATAGTTCTGTAGGAAAAAAACAATCATTCATATCTACATACTCCACAAGAACAATATTGTCACTGGTGTAGAGACCAGTGTCACCAGTGTCACCATCGACCCTTGAGATGGATCTGGGTACCGGATCATATGTTTTTTTCTGCACTGTTTGTGGGCTGGGGCAGAATGTTCTGTCTGCATTCTCACTGAGAGTTTGGCTGACTATGAAGGCACGAAGTGCAGAGTTTAATAGTCCAGTTTAAACAGTTCTATGAGATCCCAGCTCCATTTGCCACTATTACCAGTGTTTCTGGACTGTAATCCAGCATCAATAAGGTCTAGAAAGATTGACTAGAAAGCAGCAGGTGTTTGAGCTGAGCAGCCCTAGAGAAAACTGAGGATGGTTAGCTGGCTACAGCTACAGCTTCACAGTACTGCAATTCAGCTTTCTGGTCACAGCCAAGAGTTCTTCATCCTGTCTAGGCTGGAGTTAATTTTCCATAAATGCTGTGTTTTGGATTTATGACTGAAAACCAGTGTTGGTAACACAATGGTGCTTTGACTATTGTTGAGCAGGGCTTACACAGCACCAAGGCCTTTTTTGCTTCTCACCTTGCCCCACCAGTGAGAGGCTGGAGGTACACAAGGAGTTGGGGAGGCACACAGACAAATCAGCTGAACCCAAACGACTGCAGGGACACCCCTTAAAATATGGCATCACGCTAAATTTTAAGGAAAATGAGCTATTTTAAGGAAAAGAGAGGACACTCCCAAGATGAAAGGTCTGTCTGGACAAGAGCCACCAGGAGTGAAGTCAGCAGAAGTGAGCAGTAACTGGGGGAAGAGAAGGATCCACAGGAGGGCCACAAAGCTGGTGAAGGGTCTGGAGCACAAGTCCTGTGAGGAGTGGCTGAGGGAGCTGAGGTTGTTTAGACTGAAGAAAAAAACTCTCAGGGATGACCTTATGACTCTCTACAGCTCCCTGAAAGGAGGTTGTAGCCAGGTGGGGCTGGCAACTTCTCCCCAGCAACAGGATGAGACAACATAGTCTTAAACTGAGGCAGGGGAGGTTTAAGTTGGACATTAGGAAGAATTTCTTCACAGAAAGGGGGATAAGACATTGGAATGGGCAGCCCACAGAGGTGGCAGAGGGCTGGATGGTGCCATGGTCTAGTTGACATGTTGGTGTTTGGTCACAGGTTGGACAAGATGATTTCAGAGGTCTGTTCCAGCCCGTTTGGTTCTGTGATAGGTAATTCTGGCAGTGGGCGACCACAACCACCAACTCTTTGACCAAAATGGACCCCAGACTCCAATGGAGGGAAGAACTGCACCTGCAGACTAAGTAGCATGAGAAGCAAGACATACAACCGGCAAACAGGGCTTTGACTACGGATAGACAAGCTATGCAATTCGCCACGAAATAGTGCTAACGGCTTTGTTTGCTGAGGTGCATAAGCACTGTAAAGCACTGACGATCGGAGCGCCGGCCTGCAGCGGCCTTGGCCCGGTACGGCGGGCCCGGCACGGCCTCTCCCGTTGCCATGGCGGCCGCGCCGGCGGCGCGGGCCCC